GTTGTTTTTTTTTTAAACTGTCAGTGATCTATCCCTTGTACTTAAAACTTTGTTTAGGAGCTTTATGTTGTGCCACCTCTTTGTGGAATTTATTTTCTCTATCAGTGTTGCTTCATGTCTGTTGATATCTTTAGCTAGGTTTTTAGACTCGATTGTCCTTGTTATATGAAAAATCTGATTGGCTTTAATGGAGTTAGGTATTGTTCAGCATGTCCTAGCAACTAAACGAGTAATAAAACGTTTCAGATTTACTGTAAGCATAGTTCAAGCTTTGTATTTTTCTGTGAATTTGATTAAACTTCCAAATAGATAAAATAACATGTTGCAGAAGAGAATGGACGTCGTTAGTCCTGCACAACTACTCAATAATATCTTGCAGTAACGTGTGAGTATACTGATGAAAGCAAAACAGAAGCTGATTTTCTGAGGGTTGTATTGTATTGTATTGTTTAAATGTGCTGTGGAATCGAAGAAAATGCCCCCAAAGACACATTTTTCAAAAGCAGTTCCTCCCCATCATCTTCAGCATTCACTGAAGATGAATTGTTTTAGAAGAATTATTCAGTTTTGGCCTCCTCTGACTGAAAAAAAAACACCAGTCTTTTTCTTCAGTTAAAACCTTCAAAGTAAAGCCTTTTATGCTTTATTTATCCGCCAGCTGTCTGTGGTTAGGCCTTTTGCCAATGTTACTACAGATATATTTCTGCACTGTACATGAAAGCCTATATCATGTGAGTCCAAGCACTGTAAAACTTTCACTTGTAATTTTTGTTGCACGTGGTTTGGATTCCGAAGAATTTGATTCCAGCACCTGGTGCATGCTGTCTTTCAGAACAGCGGTGTTTGTGCATCTGCCCCAGGAAGCTGTATTTTAACCTTCCAAGTTGCCTGGTGCAGAATTGGGTTCACATAAACCTCCGCTTCTCCAGCCCACCATCAGCAATTTGTTACTGGTGATAAAGAAGGTAGAGGTAGTTAATTACATAGAAAGTGTAACTCATTTATAATACCTGGTGATGAAATGGCCCTGTCCTTCCTTTTCTTTAAGAAATGACAGTATTGAGGAATTAAAAATGTTTGGGGTTGGTTTGGTTTTAATAGGTTAAGGAGAGCCTGTTAATTGGAATTGCATTTTACATAATATCCAAGAGTCAGGGGAGCTTTTCCATAGGTTTCAATGTTCTCCTAAAATTTGACTTTATTTTTTTTTCTATTCTCAGTATTTTAATAAGGGTAAAATTACTAATATAAGAAGAGATATTAGGAAGTGTTCTAACAACTTTTTGAAGAAACATTTTTTCCATAAGCTTTATTTTATTTAGAGACCTTTTTCTACCACAAAAGTATTTGATTTCTTAAGATTTTAATTGAAAACAATTTTTTTGTTGTTGTGTTTTGATGCTCATAGACATTTATTCTTTAGTTTGTTCATATTTTGCTGTGGGAATATCTGTTTGCCTATGCAGTGGGATTCACTGGTGCCTAGGATAATCTTCTGTGTATTAACTTGTATTTACTGTCAGTTTTACTGAGAGTTGTATCTATAAATCTTGTATCTAACCTATGTGCAAAAGTAAGGTGCCAGGGTGTTGTATTAATCTTTAGTTCTTTGCCTGTCTTGTAGAGCTTTGTCCTGGTTTCAGCTGTGGCAGAGTTACTTCTTCCTTTCAGCAGTGAGAAGAGCTCAGTGTTTTGATTTCGAAGAAAAACGCTGACAGCGCATTGGTGTTTATAGTTGGCACTGAAGCCTCAAGGACTTTTCAGTTACCGTGTTCTTGCCAGTGTGCAGGAGCACAGCAGGATAGGGAGGGGAGCATGGCTGGGACAAAGGGTTCACAACTCCCCTTAGGATTTGAACTTAGGCTGAGGATTGAGGGCCAAACTTGGCCAGTGAAGTATTCCATATTCTGCAGCATCATGTCCAGTGTAAAGATGAGGGTTACCCAGAAAGAAGAGCCTTTTTGCTCTTCCAGGGACTCTTAGCCTCAGTCTCTCGGAGTGCTATATCTCTCTCTTTTGCCCTCTCTCTTTTCGAGCCTCTTGCTCGTCCGGGATTGCGGTGTCGGGACTTACCTGTTTCCGGATTGTTAGTCCGAGATGGGACGGCCCTTGGTTAAGGCGTGGTGAGCAATTACACTGTGCATCACTTGTTTGTATATATTATTACCATTATCCATCTATAAATTCATATATTAGCAGTAGCAGTATTAAATTGTTCTTCTCTCAACCCATGTCTCTCTTTCTCTTTTCCCCTTGAATTCTCTTCCCCATTCCCTGGGAGTCGGGGAGGGTGAGCGAACGGCTGGTTGGCCTTTAGTTGCTGGCTGGGCTAAACCACGGCAGGCTTTGATGGATGGGTTTTGGAGTGTGTTTTTGCAGTGAAGTAAGATGTTACCACCGTCTTCTCCTGTAAGATATGTCACCGTATTACCACACCGATGATGAAGTCAGGTCACAAGGACTGCGCTAAGCATTTAAACTTAAGAAGTGAGGAGCCTCATCCTATTGTATGAGGATCTTGGCGATTTGGCCATGTAAATGTTTAGTTGCAAATTTCTTGCCCTTTAACTGAACTTTATTCATTTTAATAAGAAAAATGCATGCCCATGGCTGAAGCTACCCACCTCCCGAAGAAGACTCTGACGCACCGAGCGTGCGCAGTGATTCTCTGGAGGATTATACCTTTAATTGCAGAGGAAGAAAACTTGTACCCATCAGCAGAGGTTTAAGTAGAATGATTACCAGTGGAAATGTTGTCACTTATGCATATGTAATTATGTGTGTATAAATAGTATCATTTTAAGCACCTAGGTGTGCTAGCTTTGTGATTTTACCACCCAGCACCCATCTCTGCACAGATACACAGTCAACAAACATCTTGACTCTGCAGATTTGCTTTTTGCACACCAGGTAGAAGAACCCTAGTTTTTGGGACACCACTTGTAGCTGCTATTACTTCCGATGTCTTTTTACTGCCAGTTACTGTAATTATCACCCTTGTAGTAGCACGGTTGAAGAAAATACTCACTCCACACTGCAGTTACTCCAGCTGGCGCTGGGGCATTAAGGTCTGTGTTCGCTTACACCGGAGCAGTAACTTCTGGCAGATCAGTGCAACAAGCAGCTGGGGATAACATCTTAGCCTGCCACAGCAGAGCTTATTCATTAAACCTCATAATCAAGAAGCATTATTTTTGATTGTACTTCCGGTAAAATTCAACGTGTTGTACTCTATCATCTTCTGCATTTTGAACGTCTGAATTTTCAGGGCAATTGTATGTTGCTTTTTAATATCATTATACTTTGGCTTGGTTGCCTTGAGTTTTTCAGTGACCTTTCTGTCATTTTAGCTGGTGATTTCACTGCCTAATTGTGATTCCTCTCATTGCTGTAGCAGAAAAAAATTGCGTATGCAGATTCATGATCTCGGTGGGGATCTGTCCAAGCAGAATTAAAATGTATTTTAAAATTGTGGTTTTAAAATGTACGTACAGGTTAAGCGTATAGTTTAAAACAGACTAGCTTTTCAGAGAGAAGGCTGTTACTCATGCCATCTGTGGCAGCTCGTGAAAGTGTTCAAAATTGCTAGCTGATGCCCTCAGGAGAGAAATACAGGAATTAATTACAGTTCATCAGCGTGCATCTGCATTTCAGAAATTTGGGAATAAACAGGACTGTATGCAATTCTAAAAAAATATCTTCACTATTCAGTTTAAGATCTTAGCATGTTTTTTAAATGGCTGGACAGAATTCACTTGTTTGCCTGCTTGGGACAAAAGCTCTGAATTAACATTAGATCTACAGTGTGGTGCCAGCACAGGAGGTGCCATCTTGATGGTTCAACATAAAATAGTGGGTTTGACTTCATGTTGATAACAGAGTCCTCCGGTGCTTCCTTAATTGTTGATCTGTTAATACCTTGGCTTCCTCAATCTCAGTTTAGATGAGCAGTATGGCTGAGGCAAGCCCTGCTTGGAGATGGAGGTTGGACGAGACCTCCAGAGTTTCCTTTCAGACTAGACTTTTTTCATGACTTACTGACATGTTTCACCTGCTATGTAGTAAATACTGCCATAGAGGATTAACACAGATGCAAAAGGAGTTTTCAGTATTTCTTCTGTAATTCCTGTACTTTGGTTATTACAAACTGACTTTCATCTTTGTTGAGCTTTAACAGATAACTCGCAAGGAATTTGTTTGAGTAAAGAATTTGTACAACTTAACTGAACTGCTGCTATCACAAGAGTGCCTTGGTCCCTTAGCGAAGTCCTTGGGTTCTGTTGCCCATTCCATACCAGTAAAAAGAAGCAGGCTTATGTTTCAGTTGTGTGAAATGCTAAAGCCAAGGACATTCTAGCGAGGTGTCCACTTGCTTTCAACCAGCTACACGCATCATCGGCCAACAAGATGCCTGTCTCAGATGACACGTCTCCTTTGAAGACCAGGAATTATATATCTATTTTATATATTTGTAAAATATTATATTATGTATATTTTTTTTAAAAAAAAGTTTAACTTGTGTAAAGGAGTAAAAGACCTATTGTCTTTATAAAAGGATTAATAGCTAGGTATTTTATCAGAACAATTAGTCATAAAAATTGGAATTTTATCCCTTTCACTCTGAAAGAAACCACCCCAGCGTTTTCTTAAGATGTATGCTTATCAAACCTGATCTCCTTGAAGGTATCACAGAGCCAGTAGTACTTTAATGTGAAAATGTGTGGCTGGGAAATTGGGAAATACAGGGAAACGTTTTACAACAGGCATTTTTCCCTCTAATTGTGGATTTCAACATTCATTTTTTTTTAAAAAAAAAGCTTGTCCCTTTTGTTAATACAGTGTGAAAGTTTTTAGCAGTATCATGGAATCATAGAATGGTCAGGGTTGAAAGGGACCTCAAAGATCATCTAGTTCCAACCCCCCTGCCAAGCATCATTACAATCAGGTAGTGCAGTGAGTATGTACATATCATAAAGATTTTGTGACCCTTTAATCCACTATTAAAAATTCACTAATTGCTTAATCTGCTCAGTCTGTAATTGCCTCCTCAGTAGCATTTTCATATTTTTGATTTAGGGGAAGCCGGTGCTGCTGGTGTTGAGTGCTTTTGTCCACAAGAAATCATCCCAGAAACCCTGTTTATGAAAGCAATATCTGGAATTGAGGGGTGAGGATTCACATTAAGTGGTGGAAGAAAACCCGGTCTTGTCTGAGCAATGTGATCCAACAAGAAGGCTCCTGAAGCCTGTCTTTCTAGAAAAGCTTGATTTCTCCTGCTCAGAATAATAGGAGGCATGTTCTCCAGGACTTCTCTATAACTTGATAACAAAAAGTGAGATGGAGAAAGAAGCTTTTTCTTTCCTGTCACTGACTTAATGTCTTCTGCAGCAGCAGGACTCAGACTAGTAGTTAACAGAGAATCAGAGCTGTAGTGATTTGCTCCTAAATTTCTTTTCTGGATAATACTGCTGAGGTTTGAAATAAAGCTGATTTGTCCCAAACTGGAATCCTTATCCATAGGAATGCCACTGGAGCTATGTTTATCTTCATGATACGGAGTCTGAGAGTTTATCTCATTGTATGATAATTTCCTTGATCCGATCTGATCAAAGGTTTTCAATAAATGAGCAGTGTCTTTTATGTCAATACTTTGGTGCCTGGTGATGAACCTCTTTGATGAGGCAAGGCCATTGATTTTAAAAGAGAGCTCTTCTTCTGGAGTGATACCCTGAAGTTCTTGTAAAGAGGCAATTTTATTCTGGTGAAACAGTGACAGAGAGCTCCTTATCCAATGCTCAGACAGTAGCAGCTGCACTTGTGCCGGCTCGGACCCTACTTTTGTTGAGCTGGATTTTCTCGTTGGTGAAACCATTTGAGAGGAGTTGTCCACGTTTCTTGGATGATCCAGCTCTTTAAAGCTGAAGAGTGCTTTTTCAGTTTTATTTGGACTTCAAAGTGGGGATCGAGATGTTTTCAGTTCTATTTCCGACTGGGAAGTGCAAGCAATTGGAGAACAGCATTCGTCCAGGTCTGCAGGAGGCACGTTTAAGTGCTGCTTTGTTTTCTGCTTTCCCGAGGGGTGCTTGTCCATTGTGATGATGATGACTTCTTTCCCTCGAGCCCCACAGGCACTAAGAAGAACTTTCAGGGTCTCTTTGTCTTCAGAGTTTATTGCATGCACAAGTGCAGAGTAACTGGAGTGATCTTCCGGCCTTGGGTCAGCTCCACCTTTCAGGAGCAGAAATACCACTTCAGGGCCTGCTTTTTCCAGACAAGTGTGCATCAAAGCTGTCTTTCCAGATTTGTCCTGTGTGTTCGGGTCAGCCTTGTTTTCCTTGTTTAACCGTCTTTGCCTTGTTGACGCTCTGGGAGTCCATATGTTTTGTCCTACAAGTAATCATAGAATCATAGAATGGTTAGGGCTGGAAGGGACCTTCAAAGGTCATCTAGTCCATTAATTTAATTAATCATTAAAGGGGTTTCACCTCTGTCATTGCACCACCCTCTCGTAACAGCCTGGTGAGGAGAAGGTGGCTCTGACAGAGGGCTCTTATCAGAGAATTCCCCTCCGCTGGCAGCTCCACTGTTTCGGTCATCGCATTTGTCTCACACCTTCCTAGTGGCTGGAAAGAACAACGGGTTTTCAGAGAAAGCAAAGGGCCCCACCCTAAGAAAGAAAGAAAGAAAGAAGTTGATTTAATTGTATGAATTGCTCTTGTAAATACCCCAGTGCTTTGTGAAAAGAGTACGAAGGGAAGGGGACATAACACACACACACGTATTCCCACCTGCTAGACGTCAAGAAATGCATTAAAAAATAAAATAATATTCAGATATAATTCTAACATTAATAGATGCTTAAAGTATGGCTGAAACTTTTTTTTCTGTCTTCCTGGACTGCTCCCCCTTTTGTCACACTCTGCCAAATAAGCTGCAAAAAAAGTTAACTCTCCACACTCTAATGGCTTTACACTGATGACACCGCTACAGTTGTACCACTCCTCATTTGCACCAGTGCAAGAAACAAGAACTGGATGAATCCTACAGCATTTGTTTCAGTGCCGTGAGACAGTGTGTCGTTCACTTTCTCTCATAAAGTGACAACGCTAAACATCTAGAAATTAATGAGAAAAAGAAAGCTCATGGATCTTATATAAGAAAAGCAAGCATAAACCAATGTTTTTTATCTAAAAAGAAACTGTTAAGTAGCTGGAAAATAAATATTAATGTCTTCTGTAAAAGTAATTACATTTGTGGAAGTACATTACCTTCCTTATGCTGCTTTGGAAACATAGTAGTCTGAGTGAAACATCATAAACGAAGTGATACACAGCCTGTTCCACTAATTGTGGGGAACAGTGGGCTGAGAGGAGTCCAAAACCTGGGCAGACAGTATCAGCTCTAAAACCAAAGAAAACCTAGATGTTTCACACACAAAAAAAATGAAGAGCTTAATGTGGTATAAATAATGAAAGGTCTTGTACAAATGTACAGCTGCATACATGCAAACAATACAATTAAGTTACTTTTATTTATGCCTTTCATGTGCTTGCTTACCCATGCGTAGGGAAAACCTTTATAGAAAAAACCCAAAAATGAATATTTAACAGTTGGCAGAGAAATATAATTCCAAGACAAGATTAGACATTGATATGAAAATTACGTTTGCTTATTTACTGAATATTTCTAGAGAAATAAAAATAATTAGTTTAACTGCAAATTAAATTAACAGAGATTCATTTTTATTTACCATTGAACGCACTAGTAATGTTCTGGTGAATAACTGAAAAGCAGTAGTTTCACTTTGAATTCCAAAACCAAAGGATGATATCAATCTAGTTTGTTCCATAAGTCCAACAAACAAAAAAAAAGTCAGTTGAAATACATGACATTTTTTATCAGAGATTCCCCGCCACCGTTTATTTCACTCCATAGCATCACGCTCTGCACCTACAGGTGCTTTTGCTAAGCAGTGACATTCAGTGCCTTACCAGTCACAATGAGAACAGATAGTCACAGGGCTTCATGCACACAATGTGTTAATGAAGTATTTAACTATTATTCAATATTCAATTGTTTGGTGACATGGTGTAGTAACGGTCATGCCTTGCATGTGTTTGGGTAAGATACCTCACAATATTTGGTATGTCAGGAAAAAAAAAAACACAAGAGGCAAACACATGAGATGAACCAGTTCACCTTCGGTAGCATTTATTTCTGGGCTTATGGCCCTCACAAAGACTGTTCATTATGTACGTACGGCTGCAGTCCTGTTCTGAGAAATGAAGAAGGACGAAAGAGGGCCAGAACTTCTCTGTCCATCCTCATGAGAGTAAACATCTCAATTCTCATCACTGGTGAGAACAGGGACATGGCTGTGGTACTATGATCTTCTTTTGACTGAATGGTTTGGGTTTTTTTTCCCCTCTGTCTTCATAAAATATTTTTTAAAAGTAATTGCATTGAAATTACTTTAAGGATTCATTCCATTATACTGAAAGTGCATGACTCCCTAGTGTCTATGTCAGCTTTCACTGATGCGCAAATCATTACTATGAAATGTGTATTTTTGACAAGTAATATTTTCAAGGCTATTAAAAAGTCTTTTTATAAAAGTATCCAAATAATTGTGCATATAGGTTTCCAGAAACAAACTAAAGAGATGTATCTTTTAGACAGCACACATGCTAGAATTCTGCTTGTATTCTCCCTCAGTTTTGACCAACCTGGAAGTCATTGGTGATTTTACATTTCTTTCATATTTATCTAAAGCTCTTCTGATACTTAATGGCTTGCTTTGCTTAAGTGATGGCATATAACACTTCTTACACAAGTCTTTTCATCTGTAGAAATACCTTTTATGGCCAAAAGAACATTAAATATTAAGCACACAAAGAGAAGAATTCTAATCGAAGTCATGCAGCAGGTCAGTGCTAAAAATTAGATTGTTTTTCTGACATCCAATCTAATGCCTCCAATTGCTTAAATTCACTATCTACATAGACTTTATCAGGACTATTAATGTAAGTGAGGGTAGAGGAAGGCTAGTCTAAACCAATAGTTAACGTGTGGAGTGGATTGTGTAGCCAGAATGTTGTATGAACCTGGCTTGGAGAAAGCCCAAAATGCTTTTGTGCAGGCAGGTCAGCAGTTCCAGCATGCCTGAGATCTCACCAGGGCTTGTAGGTACTAATAAATTTCATTTCAGAAACCCAACTAATCATTCTATCCACAGGCTGGGACTGTCAGGTCTGCAGAGCAGCGTGCCTAACCCCTGAAAGGAGGAGCACAGGCACCAGTCCTGCTAAGGTCCAGCCACGTTATTTATAGGTTGATCTACACTTTGCACTGCAAAGCAAATGGTAGCAGCACGGGGGGAATGGAAAGTGGAGAAAAAACTACAAAGTGGGGAATCAAAATCCGCAAATACTTCAGAATCGGATACAATTATAAGGATGTGTTACAGGTTTGTAACTGGAACAATATAATGCAGAATACATTCCTGAATGCTAGATGAAGATAACCATGATGTCATCTGGAGAATCTGTTAAATACAGGAGAATGCGCTTAGGGTTGCATCGTCCTAAAATTGCCACTGTGGGAATAAAGTGTAGCTGTACTTTTGTAATACCCACGCTGCCACTGGCTCAGTGGAAGTGTATGTGCCACACCTGGACGGGGTGCAACTTGCTCAAAAAAAAACACAGCTAGCTATTTTGAAGAGCAAGATCACCATTCAACTTGATTCCCTAAGACAGTAATTTATTTGATAATTCATCACAGATTGATGCTAAACAGATTGGTATTGTAAAAGATTCCTAAATCTAACCGTGATGTCAGAACCACTACATGTGTTACTTAGATGTCAGGACTGACACAGCTGCTTTTCAGCTGTGGAGGTAAACTTGTGCCAAGATAGCAGTTTAAACAGTGAACTATGCAACGTAGTGTGTGACACTGAATCATGAGCTGGTCTTTCAGAGCATCCACAAAATTCTGGTGTTCTTATATAAATAATATTCCTGGATTTTGTCTAGGAAGAGCCTCATTCTATTTTCAAAAAGCAGTATTGTCCTGGAAAGTGCTCCGAGATGAAGCCGCAGGAAGTATCTCATAGTATGAAAATCAGTTTTTAAAGCTGAGGATGATTTGTCTCCAAGAAGTAGACAGCCGCTGTTGTGGATTTGTGCTAGGTCCTATCCTGAGGTCAGGCTGGCAAATTTAAAAGTGATAACCCAGAGTCCTATTCTGATACAGGTCCTGCTGCCGTAGTGGGAAAAGGTGCAAATACTCAAAATGTTTAGCAATTCTTCCTCCAACCCTAGCTTCTTCATTTGTAAACAGCATTTAATGACTAAGTGAAACTCTCACAGTGTTTTGTTACATCTAACAGTGGAAATAATCACAAAATTGGAGGGCTCATCAATGTTATAATGTATAAACAAATACAAACATAAGCAACATTTTTACTAAGTAATGGAGTGCTATCAATCAATGTTCTTGCAAGATATTCCTTGTTTTTCCAATGTGAAAGCCATATTTTCTGCCCTCTGTGCCTCAGCACTCAATTACGCAAACAAGCTTTCACAGTAGTATTTGGAGTCTAAAATCATTCCAGTAAGCCATCGATTCTCATCTCTGAAAAAAAAACGTGCTTATACACTTAAAAAGCGTAAGCCTTTAATTGTTTTTGTGACTTTTCATGTTAACCCTGTAAATCCTCTCAGTCAGTAGAACAAGAACTCTGATTTCCTCCACTGTTGTAAACACATTTAAATTTATCACACATGATAAATAGTTAAAAAATTAAAAGATTAATTAAAGATTAAAAAATTACCACTTTATCACAGCCAAAACTTCCCCACCTGCTCCCAAGGTTGCCAGATTCAAGTACAGTTTTGGCAACCTAGCCTGTAAAGTGCAGCTTTCCACAGTGAAGCGTCAGTCTCTTCAGCCTTGCTGGTTTCCAAGATTAATTGCAGGATGGCCAGGATCCGTACATTTCTCACCTGTCTTCTCACTTACCGTCTCCTGTATTTGTTCTTCTGAAGAAAGTTTGGAGAGGTCCAGCAAGCTCAGTAAGTACCTTTTCCCTGTCACAGCATTCATCATCCTTCTGAGTACTCTTTCTCGTTTGGAATGGTTTCTATGGTAAACAATTACTGCCAGAGAGTGGTTAGAGCACGGTGGAGAGCACTAGGAGAAGAAAGTCTTCCCAGGGGCAGTACCTTAAGGTCAATGTTGTTGCTCTCTCTCGTTCCACAGCATGCTGACCTGTAGCCTATCCGCTCTAAAGTTTTTACCTGAGGGAGATCTGGAAAAAAAAAAAAAAGGACAGGCAACTTCTCTACAGAGAAATTATAGAGACTACACTTTAAAAATAACAAACACAGGCAAGAAGAGTAAGCATTGTAAAGGCTTTTCCCTTAACAATTCACCGAGAAGGATGGGACCGGTGTTTGAACTGAGAAGAGCCTGACAGAATCGCTCGGCAAGACAAACATCCCACGTACAGCCCTCCAGCCACCGACTCGAACCCTTCCGCAGCATCCTGGCCACCCTAACGTGCTAGAAAACCTTAAAAACAGGCGCCATC